AGAGATAGATCTACAACTTTGGTGAAGACATCTGAATCCAGTTTGAAGGTTTTCCAAGTCAAAAATCCGAAGTACAGTAGCCAATTTCATTTGGTCGAAGCTGAAACAGGGCAATGAGCAGGCAAGGGTATTTCGGTCATATCTCAGCCTACACAGATCCAAATGAGGTGATTCTTGATGCATTGGAAAGATAACTCAAAAGGCTACAACTTTTGTGTTTTATACATGAGCTGGTTCAGCCTCTAACATCAAGAAAAGATCGGTTGAAGTTGGGCCAAAAACAGAGCAAGTGATCCGCACTCGGATCCACTATTCATCCGAACCCTCGGCTGTTTCTGGGTAAGTGGAACCGAGTTTGGATCCATACGGATCCGAGGTACCGTAGCAGCTCGGATCACTGTAGTAGCCCAGATTTACTATAGCAATCCGGCCGGAACTTGGCCGGATTTAGAGCCGGATTTCTGGCCGGATTGCGGTCAGAAAAGGCTGCTCTGTACGCGTAAAACTCAATTTCACTCCCACCAACTCACATGCGATGCTAGACATGTGAGAAACATTACCAGCTGTAAGGAGAAAGTGTAAAGTTTCATTTCTTGACCAATGTTCATCATTAAATAGCCAAATTCATTGCAAGACAAGGGGATTGGAGATCCAACAATAGAATAGAGAGAGATACGGGAGAAGCTTGAAGTTGCAGAAATGTAGCTCTTTCATCTCCCTAGTGTTAGTTTAGCTTAGTATAGAGTAATATAGTTTGTCCATTCTTGTTTATTATCTAGATTAGGATGAAGATGGAGGATGAAGAAGGCAAGGAAGAAAGCTCATGTGACAAGGGTTGTATTTCTTCCAAACTCTTTATCTTTTGTACTTGATTCCAAATTTAGTTAATATACAAGTTCTGAATTTTGTGTTTATTATGCATCTCTAAAGTTTATACCTTGGGTTTGGTTGAACTTTCTATAATTGTTAGTGTTTATTATTTAGTTATTTGATTGCTATGATTTGAGCAAGTTATTTAGCACTTTGGCTCTCTAAATCATGATTAATCTGGTACGATTGATTGTGATTATCTAAGGTGTTGTTTCTGCAGTGAAAATTGAGATTTAACACTAGTTCAAGAAGTGCTAAACATAGGGAGTACACTCACGAAAGTAGAGGTGCATCTATGTGGTTTTTAGTGATTCATTTCATGTAATTTCACTGAAGAAATGAACTTGTAGCTAATTTCATAACCATGAGAATAGGTATGAATTAGTTATAAGTATAATTGATTCACTACGAAAGTAGGATTCAAATGCATAAGGAAATTACACCATAACTAGCCTAGATGTAGTACTCAATGATCCAAATATAGCACTTGCATGAGTAGTTAGGGATACCACAACCTAAGGAGCTTTTATTTGTTATTTTGTATAATTTCAGTAGGTTAAATTTGTTATAATTCATTGATAGTCTAAATAATAAAGAAGTTTTAGTAATACCGGTAATTGTTCACTCTTCCCTGTGGGATCGACCCGATATATACCCTAAACTACTAGTTGACCTGTATACTTGCAGTGAACGGGTATAATTCGGTTTTTTTTAACTTGTATGTATGTAAAATACCCGTCACGTAACTAAGTTCCTTTTCTAGTCGAAGGTCAATTTGAGGAGTCAGTTCCAAACATCTGTGAGATCGAATTATTTTACTTATTTCTTTTATTCATTGGTATTTGTACATTTTCTGATTTAACTTATTATGATTGTTATGTTATTTGAATGTCAAGGGCTCGATATTCGAATTAACCTAATAATCTACTGTCAGATTAATTGATTGAATCCATAATTGTTCAATTGGTTAATACCAGTGGCGACTAGCGTGATTGGTTTCATGTTAGGGAAACGTATAATCTAACTTAAATGAACCCTCGTAGCATGTTTGTTGGTTAGAATTGGGCTTTTCTAATTCTTATTGCAATCAAGAAATTAAATCTTATGGTCATACTTAGGGTTATTTCTTGGTTAGGAAAATAGTTAATGGTCGTACCTTGACTATCGAAAAAGTATGGAAAGGTTGGTTGTTTATCGCGTGTATGACAACTATAACTAATCTATTAATGAGTAATTGAATTATCTTTGCATCGATGATTAGTTGAATGGACTGTGTCTGAAAAGTTGCACCTTTGACTAAAGTCGTATTGGTTATTGATTAACTCCTATTTATTTCTATTAGTCGTTTTATTAGTTGGTTAATTAGTTGGGGGAAGGATGGGTTGGGTGGTACGGGGGGAGGGAGTGTAAGCGTGAGGTCTCGGGTTCGAGTCATCTTACTTGCACTAAAAAAAAAGAGTTAGTTAATTAGTTATTTTATATTTTCTAAAAATCCCCCTTATTCTGAACTCTAGAAGAAACGAATTATCCTCAATCCCTGTAGATTCGACCCTACCTGCCACTGTCTATGAGTTAATAATTTTCTGTCAACGAGTCAATTCTGGTATATCGGATTAAGCAAACTCTTCGGAGCTAAGGTGAATCAAGTAACCCATTGCACATCTAGAGTCCCTGCTCTAGTACCTGGGATTGATTGTTGACTGATTTTGGTGGTAGTTAGGTTTTTATTATTGCACAGGCTCGACACCTGTCACTTGTTCCCGACTTTTTCAGTGACAGTAGCAATGGGAATGGGCTTAAGATTTTTGTGACAAATGTCAAAAATTTTTCTCCTATTCTCTCTCTCTCCAACCATCTTCTACGCTTCTATCTCCCTGAGTCCTTCTACCTCTCCCGCCCTATCAGTCTCGTCGTCTGAATCTTGGATAAATTGGGTTACCCACTATCATAAAAGAAACAAAAATGAAGATTGCTTCTCCTTTTAAACTGCTAGCACTCCCCTTCCCAAAAATTCTTGGCATCATCATCATCGGCGAGGTTTTTTTTAATTACTTGATTGTACTTTTTAGGGTGTTGTAGGTGGAAGGTTGTGTGTTTCTTTGATGTTCCTCAAAGATGACTCCGGATCAGAGTGAGTGTTTTCCATGATTTTTCCCATCTCTGAGACTCTCAATTCTTTTTCTCATCTACCTTTGCATTTTTTTATTTGTTTAATTCATGTTTCCAATTTCTTTTTTATTTTTATTTTTGTATCTTATGTTTCATTTTTTGACAGTGAATACTGAATATGTTCAACTCTCGTTTAGTTGCTTGAGCTCCTATTTTGTTCCTTTTACGTTTTAGTTAGTTCTAAAATAATCAACGCTCTTGGTTCTTGATGTTAGAAAATTGGCTTAATTTCTTTTAGGTAGATTTCTTGTTTTGTTTGGAAATAACTAGTTTCCTAATTGATTTTAGTTACTAGTAGTAGTCAAAGAATAATCTATTTAGTTTTGGATTAGAAGTTATTTCCTATTCTGTGCAAGTTTAGAAATTAGAATTGGTTTCTTATTGTTATTTGGGTTTTGGCCAAATAATATTCCCTATAAATAAGTTGGATGACATACTACACAAGGTACATATAAGGGCACACAAGGGCAACATGTAGCTAGGGGTGGCAATTCCGGCACGACACGAACCTAACATGAAATTAATGGGTTTGGGTTAGGGTTTCACAAGTTTGGGTCAGAATCAGGTCAAACCTGATGAACCCGAAAAGAAAATGGGTCGAATTCATGTCAACTCGTGGGTAACCTGATATGACCCGTTTACGAATTAAAATAATTTAATAAACATAAAAATTATTTTATCTAACTAAACTAAGTTACTCTTTTTTTCCAAAGGCATTAATCACTTAATTCTAAATGAATTTATTTAACTTGTGTGAAGTTGAAATTATTATATTTGGACAAATAATGTATTATATTATTTTTTACTTTTATACTGTTTTAATTTATTTTAGATTTGGTTTGGGATTATTTATTTAAAATTTTATTACTTGATTATGTAATTAGTTTTGTGCGAAATTGATTTTATTAGAAATTACAGTGGTAAATTAATAAATTAAAATTAAGTTTTGGGTCATTTCGAGTCGACCCGCCAACCCGAAATTTTCGGATTCGTGTCAAGTATTCTGACCCGTTTCGGGTTGCCTTTCTGTTATACTCGGGTTTCAACCCGACCCGCCAATCCGATTTGGACCCGATTGCTGCCCTTACATGTAGCCTTATACATGGGGTGTGAGAGAAGGTTCTTGGGAGTTAAGAGATGGTATACAAGGGTTGGATTTGGGTTCAAATTGTATTCTTGTATAAGATTTTCCTCTCATAATAAAGAACGGATTTCTCTCTGTGGACGTAGGCTCAATGGTGGAGTCGAACTGCGTTAAATATTGTGTATCATTTATCTTTCATGCTTGTGGCTTGTTTGCCATTAAATTGTTGTATACTTAATATCTTAATAGTTGTTTATTATGCACTTGGATCCTAACACTTGATCTGGCTTTCACTTGTTAAGTTATTGCGTGATCCATTTTTTTTTCAACCTTTTTGATCATTCTTCCCTCATGATGGCTGCTAAAGCACTTATGAGTGAGGCAATTTTTCTCACAGGAAAGAAAACGGATATGACTTTAAGTTGTGCATGTTAGCAATTCTACCCCGAATTGTCATGTAGTTGTTTGATCAAATGTATACAAGGAATCCACGTGTTATTAACCTTCATAACTGATATGTAAAAGTTAGTACTAGAAATTTGGAATTTATACTCCTTTATTTCCTTACTAAACAATTAATAATAGTTAGTTTTCTAGCATGTATCATATAACTTATGCTTGGCGGCAATGACGGAGCCAAGGGGGGGCAGAGGGGGGCCATGGCCCCCCCTAAGTTTTGAGAATTTTAATTCATAATATGTAAATATGTGTGTAAAATAAAATTAGCCCCCCCTAAATTTTTTCAATTTTAGTTTATATTATGAGAGATGATATATATATATATATATGAATTAGTCATCTTTGAATGGAATGGCCTGCAAGCTTTAATTTGCCATGAATGTCCATATGCCTATTACATTCATTGTTTGGCTCATAGGTTTCAACTTGCTTTAGTTGCAGTTTCTAGAGAAGTAGTTTCTGTTCACCAATTCTTCTCCAATTTAGTTTTCATTATCAACATTGTTACTGCATCTAACAAACGTAATGATGAATTAAAGGAGGCTCAAGCAATTGAAGTTGCTACTAAGATTGCTAATGGTGAACTTGAAACTGGAAGGGAGCTTAATCAAATTGGCACTTTAAAACGAACTGGAGATACTCGTTGGGGTTCTCATTTGGATTCTATTTCTAGTTTACTGAAAATGTTCAATGCTACTTGTGTGGTTTTAAGTAACATTGCAGTAGATGGAGGTTCATACTCTTAACGTGGAGATGCAAATTTTGCTTTGAATCAGTTGTTATCCTTTAAGTTTGTTTTCACTTTGCATCTTATGAAAGACATTATGGAAATTACTCATCTTCTTTATATAGCATTACAACATAAATCTCAAGATATTTTGAATGCAATGCATCTTGTCTCAAGCACAACAAAGCTACTGAAGACTTTTCGAGATTCGGGATGGGATGATTTCTTGGTGAAAGTTAAATTATTTTGTGAGCAACATCAAATTGATATCCCATGTATGAATGCTCAATATATTGCAAGACGTGGTAGATCTCGAAGTCATCATGATGAGATTAGTGTGGGGCATTATTATCGAGTGGATATATTTCTTGCAACAATTGATTATCAATTGCAAGAGTTACATAGCAGGTTTAATGATCATACCGTGGAATTGCTTATTTTGAGCACTGCTTTAGATCCTAGAAATGGATTTATGCTGTTCAAGATTGATGATATTTGTAAACTTGCAGAGAAGTTCTATCCAAATGATTTTATGGAGCAAGAACTAGTACGTCTAAGAATAGAACTTCAACATTTTGAGCTGGACATTCCAAATCATCATGAATTGCAAGAATTATCTGGTATTAATGAGTTATGTCAAGGCTTGGTGAAGACAAAAAAATCAGTGATATATCCTGTTATTGATAGATTGATTCGACTTGTTCTTACTCTTCCTGTATCAACTGCAACTTCAGAGCGGGCATTTTCAATTATGAAAATAATCAAGACAAAGCTCCAAAACAAGATGGAAGATAATTTCTTGAATGATTGTCTAACTGTGTATATAGAAAGAAGGTTGCTGAAAAATTTAGCAGTGATTCAATCATAGATGAATTTAGTTTTATGAAAGAGTTTAGAGCTCAATTTACTTCTAAGAAAAGATGTTGAAATTTCAAAGTATGCTAACATAACTTTTATCTTTTTTTAATTGAAAATAGTTACATTTATATTACAAGGTTATATATATATATATATATTGCATAGGTGACATATTGGAGAGCATCTTCTCATAATGTGCAAATTGGATGGTTTGTGATGTTATAAGATATTTAATCAAAGGGTATCTTTTTTGTTAATTTTTGTTATGACTGTACGGTATATTTATGAATAGACATGCCTTTATAATTAAATTTAATATTTGATAGTTTTAGATGTTATATATTTAAATAGAAGAAAATTATTTTGAACATAATAATTAAGATAATTTTATTAGGAAAAAATTTTGGCCCCCCCAAAAAAAAAATCCTGGCTCCGTCACTGCTTGGCGGGTTTTCTTTGGAAGTTGATGTTAAGGTATAATTTGTTTATTATCTTTCATTTACCGATCACCAAATAGCTTGAGACATTGGACCTTTCCAATCAGTCAATGTAAACATCGCTGGTCTTGGGGTCTTCGGAGTTATTCACTTTTTCTTGTTTTAATTGGCTTTATTCCATATTGGTGTAAAACTTTTCTGGTAATGAAAATATATTGAAATTGTATGGTTGCTTGCACAAAAGACAAAGTTTTGGGAATGACTATTGATTTTTTTCAAGGAAGGTAGCTTGTCAAAATTTTATGCCTCTATTCATCTTCAAAGAAATGTTTGGCCTTGCTTTAGCTGGAAAAGAGATTGTCAGTGATAATTTTGTTGCAAGATCACAATCTAAAATATTCTTCAAAAAAGATGTTTTTACAGTGATGTTGAATTGCATGAGCCCCTGCAAAAAATGGAAAGTTAAGAAGGTTATTTTGAAGATGATGTTACTGTTATTTGGGATATTTAAGAGGATTGGTCATATCCTTTGAGAGAAATTTTATTGCTATATTCTGGTCTTTAGCAACATTTTTCTCTCTGTACTATGAAAGCACTACCATCTCATTCACTTATGTTTTCATGGAAGATTTATGTCATTCTTGACCTTTTGTGGACAGATTATTATTTTATGGTGATTGTATATTTTCCAAATGAAATCCACTTTTCTCCCCCATTGTGTACTTGACTCGGCAAAGAAAACAAAAAGAAAAGAAATCAAATTCTGATTTAATTTGCACTCTGTGCCATGCAAAGCTTCTTTGCTTGCTATCCTTACAGCCGGAGACAATATTGCATGTGACAAAATAGCTATTTCTGTTCCCAAGGAGGTTGCTATGTCTGCTTTGCATTTCATTTTTCATTTTTCTGCTATGAACAAAAACAAGTTATATATTTCAAACTGATTGTGGCTTTTCGTACTTGATTTACGTTTTCCAAAAGTTGGTAGTAACAAGCATATTCATGTTATATGGAACACAATTATGGGTATAATTATTGTTAACTTTCAACTAATAATCTTATGAATGCTTATATACACTTGTTCATACAGCACCCCAATGGAAAATGAAAAAAAAAAAAAAAAACGGCTTCGTGCAAGATATTTTTATCTCACTGTCTCATTTTTTAAAAAGTGCCTCCTCTAAGGTCATCTTAAAACCTGTACCCTGATTCTAAAAGGGTTGTTGACGAGGATTGATCATATACATAACTAGATGATTTTTTTTTTGTTTTAACAAAGTTTCGTGTTGACAAAGCAAAACAAAAAACATAGGCGTTCTGTTTATCCCTAGCCATCAATGTACATGTATGAACCATATTGTAGCTTTAATTGAAACTCTAAGTTCTATGCTAAACACGATAGCTATAGCTAAAGAATTCTATTTTAACCATAATGGTTCAGCATTGGAGAAGCTTCTGGTTTACATCTATTACTTATTTCTTGTATAATATTTTTAAGTGGTGAATGATTAGTAAAGTTTTCTTGTTAATTGTGTAGCCATGTGTAGACTTCGTAGCAAAAGTAGTTGGAGTAACTTCGAAAAGGAAAAATTTTGGTGTTGCAGATTAAATTGCATCCCAAGATTGTTAATGATATTGAAAGTGTTTTAAAGAAGTAACAAGTCTTACATGGTATATCAATGTGTCTGCTATGTACAAGCAATATTAGTGCTGAAATTGCTAGCAAGTTTGTTGCTTTTTTACTAAGAAACAATCATAGAGTTTGCATCGGTTCAACAATCTACTTATTTCACTTTGAGGTGACCTTATGGTAGATCCCACAACATGATGTCTTAAAAATTTTCTTCTTCTTATATTTGGCTGTCAGTTATTCTCATACTTTTAATGGAAGAAGGTGCAATTTGCTTGTTGTTTTCTTCTGAATCTTTTAGATTTATTTATTATCATTAAGTATACTACATTTGGAAAGCCATCAAATAATGATTAAGAGAAGGGGGAATAAGGGATAAAAAATGCTCTAGGTATCATAATTGATTTTGATAAATAATTTGGAACTTTTTAAAGAAGATTTGAGCCTAAAGTCCAACATCTGTATTTGTACTTTCTGTCATTCTACATTAGAGTGTATTTTTTTGGCATACTAATGCAACAAAATTCATATTTTCGTATGTGGTGTAGTTTTTTGAGACTTAAGAGTGCTTGCAAATTTGCAATCTATCATCTCAAAGGAAAGCAAAATGGTTATAGGAATATTATCTTATTCCTATTTTTGTTATTATTTGCACTCCATGTAATTTACTTACGCAGAACAAATAGAATGGAGGACGCTTTGGAGTATGTGGGAGTTAAATTAGTGATGCAGGACAGTGCAACGGTTTTGTTCGATCTCTAATTTGACCTATTTTTTACTATTGTCTACATTAATCTCTTTAATTCAATTTATCAAAGTTAAAGGTGACTTTGCTATCGCTATCAATTGCTTTGAAAATTGCCATTATTATGTCAAAGCAATTTAAAATGTTCCATTTTCACTTTTCATTGGATTTTTTTTCAGGATGAAACCTATTCAACTCTCACATGGTGATAGAGAAAAACACCTCGAAAGAGTCTATCAAAGAGTTCAATATGTAAGTCAGGAACCCAACTCTGACCCAAAAACTTAACCTATTAGGTTTTGGACCCTTAGTTACATATTAACAGCTCTGTCTCCATCTCTCGGACCAATGTGGGATATAACCTTTTACTCATAAACTTAACACATGGGATTTGAGAAAACTACCAAAACGCTTGTTTCAGAACTGATATTGGCGTCAGAAAGGCAATATGCCATCTTTGTACTATTGCAAGTAGAAAAATCATTTTAAGTTTTAAATTTCTGATGATTGTAGGTTTGCTGGTCATGACTTTGCAAATGTTGCTATTGTTAGTGCAAGAAATGATTTTGCAATAGGAAACGGTGCTTCTGACTCTTTTGAAAAGTAGGAAGTAAATTAATAAGAAGTGAAAAATGGATCTATAGTGAAAATAGCCTGCGCACTGTAGAGGGGATGGAATTTGATCGTGGATATTTTTTCTCCTTGACATGATTGGAGTTTTGGATTTCATATTTGTATCTGATGGTATGTGGTATTTAAGATAGGAAACCTCTGTATTCGCAATTGCTTTTGGTTGCCTAAAACATCGCATAGTTCAAGGATATTTTGAAACGATACTAGGAAGTCTCCAATTGTGATAGTTGCATACAACATTGAAGAGGAAGTTCCGACTCCATCGTTAATAGTCCCTTGCTATTAGAGGTCTTGCCTTCCTTGAGCGCTACTATCTCTTGATAGGAAAGAATGACAGAAGAATGCTTGAAGCTAGAATTTACCACATTCTTTCATTCTGATGACATTTTTTATTGCAATTTCAATTAGTTAAATTTACTAGATGGCAGATTATGGAAAAAAAAAAAAGATAGATTACAACCTTAAATTCACATTCTAGCACCAATTCTTCTTGGATTTTGAATTGTATCTCCAGTTTAAGAATTTGTCTTCTTCAATCTTATCTAATTCCAAAATGTTGTAAATTATATCACTTATAAAAATTTTCCTAATATGTGAACAATCAAGGCAAATGTAATAAGCTAACATAACATTGTTATTGAAATTGAAGTTGGCATGTATTTGCAACTTACTTTAATAGTTATATTATTTAGCTTTCTCTTAGTGTTTTCCTCCTTTTATTTTGTATCAGAATAATCTCATTCGGCGGGGCACGCCAATCTCCTATAATCTCACCGCAACGCGTGGTGTTGACCCTCCTGGTCCAACGACTAATCGCAAAGGGCACCAAATAAATAATAATTAATAATTAATCTAACACTCCACACATTTTTTAAATGCTGATCAAGGATCCAGCTGTCCAAGAATGGGACAGAGATCACCAACTCCATTAAATTAAACTAAAGAGAAGGAAAGGAAATAGCGACTTCAATACCCTTTTTTTAAAATTATTTTGTACCGATATAAGAGTATGGAAAAAAACAAAAGAAGTTTCTAGTTAGCTAATTAACATAGAGGGCTCATTTAGCTTTCTTTTTTGTGAATATGGCTTAGCATAGCTTTCCCTTTTGTCTTGCTTAGCACATAGGCCATAGAATTTGCTGGCATACTTGTTAGATTTATCTCACATCAATTGTGAAATAAATAGGTTGTTTGATTACAATTGATTGACGCGCACAGGATCAATCGTGGTAATAATTTATCATTTGCGAAGTTGCGAGTTGCTGCAAGCACACCGGGTAAAAGACCATTTGATCCATTTTTTGCATGTATTGAAACATCATCTCTTCCATATTAGGTCTCTTCTCTTGGACTGGTTGAGGAGGATATTGCGATTTTTGCTGCTAGCCTTGAAATTCCGGTGATTACACAGGTTGCTCCCTCCATCAACCTCCATGATAAATTAGGGTGATTATACCACCCTGGATTATAAGTGTTAGAGAAGGAATCATTCCGTTGCTAAATCCTTTGACCACCGTAAAATTCACATCCTCCACCATAGATGGGGTGTTTCTATTGTAACAACCAGCGGCAGCGTGTCCATACATGTTGCAATACGAGCATGGCTTAGGAGACTAAGATTCACCCTTTAACATTGACTGCATTTGTTGCATTTGTCGAGTTAACTCAGCCAATTGAGCGCCCATATCTTTATTAGTTGACACTTCATGCACACTTGCTCTTTTACCCCGACTTGCTTTTTGTTGCAAGTTGCTGGATAGCATCTCATAAATAGCAACCATTTCCTCCGGAGTTTTATCCCTGAAATACCCTCCAGCATCAAAGTTGACCATGTCTGGGTTGTAAAGGATGGTCAACCCGTCATAGAAAAACTGGATTTGCAACGCCAAAGAGCACTAGTGATGAGGGCATTGACTCAAAAGCAGCTTAAATCTTTCCCATGCTTTGTGAATTGGCTTCCCCTCCATATGAGAAAATGAACGGATCTTATTCCTCAAGTCAATTGTCTTTTGTGCCGAGCAATACTTGGTCATAAAGATGTTATACACATCTTTCCAAGTTCTCAATGTACCTTGTGGTAAATTCAAGAGTCAGGATTTTGCACGGCCCTTGAGACAGTATGAGAAGCATCTCATCTGCAAGTCATCTTCAGATATATCAATGAAAGGAAAAAATCCTTGCAGAAGGGATTAGAGTTGTTTAACCAAGGCATCATGTGGAATGTCAGAAATGGGGAGGAAATTCTTCTGTGGTGGGATGACTGGACCGGTAGAGGCCCCCTTAGATCAATGATCTCTGGGCCACTCACCCAAGCAGAAACCAAAATGAAAATCAAGCAAATTTTTGGAGAATTTGATGCTTGGGATTTTTCTTCTCTCTCTTTTGAACTCCCGGACAATATTTGCAGATTCATTCAAAGCATCCCAAGGCAGTTAATGAGTAATCAATCTGATACTCTAAGATGGAAAACCAACCCAAATGGATCTTTCTCTGCCAAATCTGCCCTTCTAATTTTGGAGCAGGATCTAAAGAAAAAGCCCCCTCAAGGGGATTTTGAACTATGGTCTTGGGTTTGGAAGGTCAAAACAAAGTCCAAGGTTAAACATTTCCTTTGGCTAGCTTGCCAAAATAGACTGCCTTCTAAGGCACTTCTCCTTAAGAGAAATATCATTTCTGACTCTTTTTGCCCTCGCTGCAACCATTCCTGTGAAGACTCAGCTCATGTTCTTAGATATTGCCCACATGCTTCCTCCTTTTGGCAAAGCCTCAACATTCCCACTTCCTTTGATCTGGATTTTACAGTTTGGCTTAAAAATGGTTGTCTGTCCAAGCATATTTCTCCATTTTATGGAATCCCCTGGGGTACTGTTATCTCTTTTGCCTGCTGGAATCTTTGGATTGCCAGAAACAAGGCTATTTTTGAACCATCTAACCTCTTCTCCATTCTGCACAATACTCTAGCAATGGTGGCTGAATACTCCTTTTTAGGACCTATTCAGAACATAGTACATCCTAGAACAGAAGTGCTCATTAACTGGATTCCCCCTGAACCTTCCTGTTTCAAAATCAACACTGATGGATCTTCCATAGGGAATTCGGGTCCAGCTGGATCAGGTGGCTTGATCAGAAATCACCTAGGACACTGGATAGCTGGGTTTAGCAGAAAATTGGGACATGCTACCAATATTCTTGCTGAGTTGTGGGGGATAAGGGATGGACTATCCTTAGCTTCCTCTCTAAACTTGCAAAATGTTGAATTAGAAGTTGATGCTAAAACTGCTCTAGACTTGCTTAAATCGGCAGATACCTCAACTCATGAGTATGCTTCAATTATCTCTGATTGCAGGTTCCTGATCTCTGCCCTGCCGAAAGTCATACTTAGACATGCTTATCGAGAAGCAAACCAGTGTGCTGACAGATTGGTAAAACTGGGTGCTCAACAAGACGTTAATTTTGTATGCTATGAAAGTATTCCTTATGCTTTGAGAAGTCTAGTAGATGCAGATCTTAAGGGAATTTGTTTCCCTCGTTTTGTACCTATAACTTAAGTTTGTTTTAATATATAGTCCCTTTTATTACCAAAAAAAAAAAAAGGAAAAGTCAGGACCACAGAATAAATTTCATGTTTATTTACGTTTAAAATATGACCACTGGTAAGGATTTAGCATTTTGATGGAAATAAAAGTAAAAAAAAAAATAATAATAATAATAACACACAGGTAGTAGTGGATCATAGCTGTCCAAGAGTACGAGAACTTCATTTGTTTTTTTAAATGACTAGTGGATCGTAGAATATTATTTACGTTTTTTAAATGGCTAATGGATTAGTTCAGAATTGAGTCGAGTATAGTTTTCCTCTGTACTCTTATATCGATACAAAATTATTTAAAAAAAAAAAAAAAAAGGTATTCAAGTCGCTATTTGCTTTCTTTCTCTTTAGTTTAATTTAATCGAGTTGGTGATCTCTGGCTCATCTCGGACAGCTAGAATGTTTATTATTACTTTTTGTATCCTCAAAAAGCTGGATCCTTGATCTGCATGAAAAAAAATGTGTGGTGTGTTAGATTAATTATTAATTATTTGGTGCTCTTCGCGATTAGTTGTTGGGGACAGATAGGAAGTTAATTGCTCTTTCCGTGTTACGTTGATAGTCTTGACTTTTTCTCACACACGTTAAGAAAATTTTGTTAACTTTACTCAAAAATTAAATCTAGCCTAATATTTTTCTAAAATGTTCTTACATTAAAAATAAAAAAAAATAAAAAAAAAACGCAGCCAAGTAGTGGATCATAGCTATCCAAAAATGAGACGGATTACCTACTCGATTAAATTAAACTTTCCTTTCGGCTGATCAAGGATTTAGCGTTTTGATGGAAATAAAAATAAAAAAAATAAATGCAGCAAAGTAGTGGATCATAGTTGTTCAAGAATGAGAAGGATTACCTACTCGATTAAATTAAACTAAGGAGACAAAGAAGAAATAGTAACTCTATTATTTTGGTTCGTTATTAGAGTACAGTGAAATCTCTATAAATTAATACTCGATAAATTAATAAATTTTATTAAATAATAATTTCTTTGATCCCAACTTGAACTAACAAGTTAAATTAATATTTTTGATAAAGAATAAGATAATAATTTTATTTTGAAAAACTTACATAATCCTTTGGTTCCATACGTATCATAAATAAATAATTTACTCAAAAATATATATAATATTTTCTTAAAATATGAGTCTATTGTTGTTTGTTTTTCTTAAAATTTAAATCTACCTAAATCTCATCCCCAATTTTTCTTATTGTATCTAAAAGTTCCTTATTCAAACTTTCTGTGTTAGGTTCATGAGTAAAAAAGATTACATCCCACATTGGTCCGAGAGATGTAGAAAGAGTGGTTAATATGTAAGTAATGATACAAGACCTAATGGCAAACAAGCCAAAAGCATGAAAGATGGACGACACACAACATTTAATGTGGTTCGGCCCCACCATTGAGTTACGTTCACAGAGAGAAACTCGTTTTTTATTATGAGAGTAAAATTCTATACAAAAATACAATTTGAACCCAAACCCAACCTTTGTATACTATCTCTCATTTCCCAAGAACCCTCTCTCACCCCATGTATAAGACTAAATGTTGCTTCTTGTGTGCTCTTTTATGTCTTTTTGTAGTATATCAACCCACCTATTTATAGAGAATATTATTTGATCAAAATACCAAATAACAATAGAAAACCAATTCTCATTCCTAAAATTGTACAAAATATGAAATAACTTCTAATTCTAAATAAAATAGAAAATTTCTTAACTACTACTTCAGGTAACTAAAATCAATTAAAAAACTAGTTACTTCCACGTAAAATAAAAAATCTATTTAAAAGAAATTAAATCAATTTCCTATAACTGTAGATCAGTCAAGTTTGGCGATTTTTATTTTGCGGAGCCCTTGAAGCTAGCTTGCTGCCCTATTGTCGGGGACTGCATCATCTTTATAAGCTTAGCAAAGTGCGCGACGTGGGGCCTTTCTTCTTGACTTCTTATTTTGTTTTATTTTAAGTCTTTTTAATTCTAAACTTGAATTCTCATATTACAATAAGAAATTATGAAAAGTTATTGATAACTTGAGTGCTTGCTTCGAGTTATTGATACTTTGAGTTGCAACCAATAAAATTGAAAGAATTTGAGCACTCTCAAGGTGTTTTCAAAGGCATTTTTGGCTGAGACCCGGGGCAAGCATTTTGATACTTCATGATTTTAATTTTGAAGGAACATATGTTTTAGGTTCAAGCAATTGAGCATTAGCCTATACTTTGATATGCCCGTCGATATAGGTTTTTTCTTTCAATGCTACTGTGACGTGACCAAGCCGTCCAAAGCAGAGATAAAAGAATAGTACAAAATGCTTGTCCTGCGCTATAATTTATTTTCACAGACCAAGAAGATGAAAATCAAGTTCTACCTAACACTTAAAATAATATTGATTAAATAAAAAAGCAAGAAATTTCCATTGTAGCAGCATCCTAGAAAATTAATTTCCTACTAGTTGCTTAAAAATTCCTTGTTTGACACTTGACACGTTTCTCCATCGAAGAAAGGTAAAAATATGTTTCAGGCGTTTATTAGTGCCACTATCCAAGCTGCCTGGGGACGGCTTTATCTCTTGCCTGCACTGATGGAATTGTTATTAATTTATTTATTTTTTGGGGAGTAATAAAATTATTATTACTGTAATTTACTGCTTCAGTAATCAAACGCAGAGACAGTATAATTTTCTCTTCCTAATAAAAAGTAAAAACTTCCTGGTTTGACATATTAACTCTCCACAATCTGCAGGCGACAAGGACTGCTACCTCCAAGGAAATAAAATAAGGTTGAGGCTCTTATTAGTGCCATTATCCAGGCTGCCTGGGGACGGCTTTATCTCTTGCCACGGATATGGTTTGGTAGGGCG